ATTCCTTGGCCCATTCTGGCCCATGTTCTTTATTCTTGCTTTTGCAGGATTCTTACATTCTGCATGCAGGTCGCTTCTCCAGGGCTCAGAGCTGAGATTCCGGAGGACCATTTGATCCATCCAGACCCGTGTTCTTTCTGCTCGGCTTTGCAGGTTCCTTGGCCCAGGATGTGCTGACCCAGCCTCCATCTGTGTCAGTCCCACTGCAACAGGGTGCCCAAATCCCTTGTTCAGGGAACTGCACTGGGGACTACAGCGTGCCGTGGTGCCAGCCGAAACCGGGCCAGGCTCCTGTCTGCTGATGGCAGCAGGCCAGACGGCCTCCCTGGCCGATTCTCCGGCACCAATTCTGGCAACACAGCCACGCTCAGCATCACGGGGGCCCAAGCAGAGGACGAGGCCGACTATGACTGCCCGGTGTGGCCCAGTGGCAGCAAGCACCCCACGGTGACGCAGACTGGGAAGCGAGACGAGAACCTCCTGGTGGCAAATGGCTTCAAGGACAAGCTGGTCCCCACCACGCAGTTCCTTTCGTGAAGACACAGAACGGACTGAGCCGTCCGAACGCAGCCTGAGCTGCGCCTCTTCTTCGGCCCTCCAAAGGCAACTCACGGCCGCCCTGCGTCACACGTTGTCATGGCTGTGAGGCTTCCATCTTCAAGGTGCCCAGACTCCTCAGCTGCACGCTCAGTTCCAGTGTGACGCGGATGCACGGATGATGTCCTCCGGCTGTCCTTGCAAGCAAGACCCCAGCAGGATGATCCACCAAATGTCACACCACCATGCCGCCCATCCCAAGGGAGTTGGCCACACTCCTAGAGGTGTTCCAAGCAAGATGCCCAGCCACCCCGCCCAGCCTCAGGCCATACATTTCCTCCAGTGCAAGACACCCTTGGATGCGCTCTTCCCCTGCCCACCTTCCCATGGGCGTATTGGCATCCCGGGTTCCTCCTCCCCATTGCAACCCACCTGCTCACCCACCTCTCGCCCTGGGCCAGGCAGTCCTGAAGCAGGACCAAACACTGCGCAGTTACTCACCACACCTCTGCCTGTCAAGCCAGCAGGTCATGGCAAAAATGCAGGGGCGGATGAGAGCAAGAGCAGCTGGGACCGTGGCCGGCAGATGCTCCCCGAAGGCGCATGGCTTTCATACCTGCCACATGCTGCGTCTCCCGGGGGAGGTGCTGGATGGCAG